CTAGACAGCCGATTGCGAGCAGTGCAACGTAACACGACGGCGTGCCAAATGGCGAGGATACTTGACCGGGTGCCTTCAGCTTAGCGAGTCCAGTTAAACTATCAAGGTCAGCACCAATGTTGAGCGTCGTCGAACCCTGGACCAGTGATTTTGGGGAAGTGTGTGACGCTACACAACCATCTTCGGTAATATGTGTGCTTCGGGTAGGATATACTTTGAGAATATTCGAAGAAAGTTCACCCGCTATATACTGGGCCATCACGAAGGACTTGATCATGAAGAAAGGTGCGAGAAACTGAAAATTGACCCACTTTGGCTGAGACGCCCTAAGATCAACCTCAACCTATTTTTCCTCCTTTTACGTGGCATTACCCATGCCTGTTGCTCTCCCACCTCCAAGTTTATGTCCTCATACAGTCTACGCAATGGCGAGTGCACTGTACCTGTCGAGAAACACCGCCTACAACTTAAGTCACGATCCTTTATGATACGGTATGGCAAGTTGTGGAACAAACTCGCACATTGTGTTCGCTCCTGCATGTCCCCATTTCAGTATCAACGTCCACTCAAGGAATTCCTTCTCTTCATGGATATCCATAGGTTTCTTGACATCCATACCATATCCACAAATACGAAGTATAATGGAGCAACCGGCACGTAACAATAGTCGAGCCATTGCGTCCATTGTGAACATACTTAGATCTCTGAATGTGTGAATCAGAGTTATTAAAGTCCTCGAGTTCCTTTAATGTTCACAGCTTTATGATTACATACAAGGGTGTGAGTGCTGGCTCCTCTCCGTATAAAGAACTCAGTAAACACTGTTTTCTTCTCAAGGCCACTACGATACACTTTAACTACGGAAAATTTTGAGAGCCTTATAGCAGAAAAGCCATGTATTTTACTCCACATATATGTATGAAAGTGTACATGAAGTCCGAATAATTTAAAAGGAATAGGGACTTCTCTCTTCTCCAAACTTGACAACGTAGTATTTTCCTTTTTTATATCTGCTGGTGCTTCTTTCTTTTCCTATTTGAAGCAGCCGCTCCGTGACGACGTTAGATGCGGAATTTCAATCTGAACATAATTACTTTGTATAACTATTGCCTGCTCATAGACGCTAATAAATATGGGACTGCTTCTGCCATTTCACGAATTCTGAACCATCTTCAAGATTAACTAACCTATTGGTCACGTTTTTTTTTGCGACGAACCGATTAAACTTGCCTGACAGTATTAGTAGCAGACACATTCTGAACAAATGATTGAACTAGAGACCAGTTTACCTATAGGTTGGGAACGCGGCTTACCTGCAGCAGCTCCACACTACATGTTTCCTAGTACTCTGTATCAAGTGATTTTTTAATATGAAAGTTAATATACAACAAATACACTTCTCGAATGATGCTGCCTATGCTGGTGCAAAAGATACGCGGTGTCTATGTACAAATACTGCCATTTGGAAAATTGGCCGTTTCAACGTCTATTTCCATCCATCACAACAAATATTCTTGGTGGAATTAATCTATATTGCCTTTGAACGTAACATAGTGGCTTGGAAATATATTGATATAGCCATACACATTGGTTATATAACTGTAGATACCTCATCGATACTGCGGATTGTATAAGTGGGTCCTTTGTAGTTAGCAAAACTAAGAACTGGAGAACATTCTAAGGAATAGACTGTTATATTACTAAAGAACAAACTATGCGAATGGACTTGCAACATCGGTTGGTTACAACGCAAACTTCGAACACTGATCGCCTTTGTTCATAATGGTGGGACCTATCTGTGTGATAGGAGATGATGCACACCAATGTCCCAATTTGTGGATTATTTAATACCAAATACCATTTTGCAAACTTTCAAGAATTATCAATTTGACGGTGCTTATAAGCTGGTATCCCTCATGTTAAACCAGCCCATCATGTGAAGATAATACTTATTGTTATCTAGACTTTAACACTCTGTATACTCTGAAAAGTGATATTTCATTGCTCGTTTCATAACTGGCGGGATCTTCTGCTGTTTTGAATAGACTTAAATGACATTCTGACTGTACCATTCAGGATTCGTAATGTCGTAGATATTTTGAGATATATCGATGTGATTATGCCTGCAAACTGGCTTCTCTCATGTTTTATTATTAATGTGAGTATAAAACATTTATTTATTTATTCACAAGATGAATTGTCCCTAGTGTTAGTTCTAAACCCCTGGGTCAAACACCGTCTCATGCGGTGGTTTTAGATTTAGGGTTGTACATCTTGGATTGTTGTCGTATATACAATCGTGTCCTAGTAACCTAGCTGTAAAATACTTATAGACACTCCATTTTCAGTTTGTCTTTAATGCAGATACCACCCAATGTAAACGGACGGTGTTATAATAGTTAACGTGCTCAAGTTTTGTAGGGTACTGACTTGGCATTTTTAGAGGAAAATCTACAGATCACGCATCCGAGTAAGATTCTAGATTTGCGCGTCTGTGATGTGACCTGTTCAAAAAGTGTGGTGGTTACCTAGCTACCTAGGCCCAGTGTCAGAGACACTTTTAAGAGCAGGCACTTTCATAGGCCGGAGATGCAGCTGGACGTCTATATTCAAAGGAACAATACGTTTAATTAGAATGATTGTAATATTAATGAGTAGGGGAGAACTTTATCCAATTTATCTAGTTAGTATGGCTGAACTGGGGACCCTGAGGGTGTGCGTGCTAAGGGAGAGCAAAATGGTGTCAAAGCCCACTCGGATGCACGCTCGTTAAAACAAAACTTAAAACACCTTAAGCGTCCGGAGACGAGCTGCAGGTTTATTTGGTTAATCTACTTCAGTCCATTTGTTTTGGCCCTGGTTGCATTTCGGTGCCGTGAAGGTGGACTACACGTTATCCCCCTCCTGGAAGGTTGTCAGGATACCGGCAACCTTCGATTCTAGGAGGCAACTGCGAGGCAAACACGCAACAACTTTCCACATTGGTGATGGAGTAGGCGACGTGTGGGTCTTCAAAGCTAATGCAACTATGTACACCTGCGAGGTAAGAGAAGTTTGAGTCGACACATCGCCCCTCTTGGGGTGGTGGAAAACAACCCAAAGTGTCTGTCTACTCTTCCCTATGAGTCTTTAATCTATACGGGGTGTACAAGGGGGAAACTGTTGCAACGAGAATCTCAGAATGGTCCAAGTATCATCATCAGGGGCCAACCGTATCCGACTTTCAACGCATTTCCTACATTCTGCAAGAAGAGAGATAAACAACACTAGTTTGTTAGGAAAAGAGCAGACAGATGCCAAAGGTGAGGCAAGTGCAGAAACAAGTAATGAGCAACCAAGAAAAGTTTTTCAATTTTCTTATTCCACTTCTGAGTTTTGAAACCTTTTAGTGGTGAAAAAACGTCTTGAAAACCCTGGGCATGCAAATGCAGTGGTAGTACGTGTAAGCATAAAGTAGTTGCGACACCGAGTTTACCGTATGAAGTTGCACTCGGATTGGGCCAGCACACACACCCTCAGTACTTGTCGAAGTTACTAGCTCAGTGCTATTAGAGGTTGCTGTTTCAGAAGATTCAAGGTAGTAACGACTACACAAGTCTTTTTGAGGGTCTGGCGACAAGGGCTTTTCTGTTGTGTCGGTGTAGAGGAAAGTGGGTCGCCTTCTATACATTCCGTCTTCAAACGATCGACACTAATGGTATCTCGCCATCCTGATTTGTCAGTAAAGAAGAACCTTCCTATCTTTCTGAGAACCTTGAAGGGTCCGTCTTATGGTGGTTTTAAGGGTCTACGTACAGCATCACAACGCACAAAGACGTGTGTACAACCTTGAAAGCCTTTATCCAGCTGCACCAGCCCACGCTGCATTCGCGTGGATGGGGTTGGGGAAGACACATGTGAGGCTTAAGAGCTAGCGCATAGCCGTGTTTATCGGTTGGACTTGGGTCACTATGATCTGAAGCTACCGTTTTACCGGGCAAACGTAAGTCACTGCTGTAAACCAACTCAGCAGGCGTACACTGCATACCTGTCCCAAGTGCTGAGCGAATGCTGGGAAGAACCAACGACAGACCCGGGCCATTCTATATTGTCGACTGCCATTAGTGCGCTTAAGATGTCGATGAAACTGCTCTACCAAACCATTAGAAGCTGGGTGATATGCAGTAGTACGAATGCGTTTGCATTCCAACAGATTCATCAGCCTCTGGAAGGTAACTGACTCAGACTGTTGGCCTCTGTCACTTGTCGCTGTGAAAGAGCATCCAAACTGTGAAACCCACCTTTCGACGAAGACTCGACTGACTGTTTCGGTAGTAATATCAGACAATGGGATGACTTATGGAAAGCGGGGTGAACCTATTAACACGTGTTAGTAGGTGGCAATAACCTTCGGAGGGTGGAAGTAGGCCAACAGTGTCTAGATGGACATAGGCAAACTGTGCATCCGGTTTGGTAAAAGTCCCAAGTGGTGGGATGTTGTGACGATCCACCTTGGAACGTCTGCACTGATTACATGACCGTGTCCAGTTTCGAATATAATGGTTAATACCAGGCCATACAAACCTAGCAGATATCACTTTGTCAGTAGCAAGTATGCCAGGATGCGAAAGGCTGTGCAGAGCACCGAAACGTGCTCACGCAAGGGCAAAGGAACAACTGGTCTGGGTGTGCCTGTGGAGAAGTCACATAATATTGTCCCTTCACTGTTCCGAAGCGGCAAAAGCTGTGTCTTCGGAGAGGTTGAATCAACGAAATACTGAAGTCTGTTGGAGATATGTTTATACCACCATGGTTCCCTAATTCTCGCCAGATTTTCAAACCATCAACACAGATAACCCACCAAATGAATGCTGTATTTTGATACTAATGCAAAAGAATTGAATGCTGCTCTTTAAACATAAGAGTGAAGAACCGGGGGATGCACTATAGTGAATTATTCTCACTCATTAGACACGATATAGGTTGACGCAGACTTGTTTCATCGCATCAAGATATGTGCTACCGCCATACTGCGATTTTGGCGGTCAGGTGTGCGATGCAGGTGGAGTATAAGCAACTCGAGGTTTGGCTTCACGGGAAACTAAAGCCACTGTGAGTTTCCCTTTGACTTACAAATTTTCACGTTTATATGGTAAAATTCTGCCCTAAATGTTGTACGAGTTCAGCTCCGTGGCTCGGCGATTCGTCCCGAGCGTCGGGGTGTGCAAGCTACCTACAGCTCTCACCATGATCTCTCAGAATTTGAGAGTGAGAGGTTTCTTGTATGGTTGAAAGCGCGGAAACTGTATAATGTACTTATCAGCGCGAAACACCGTAGTTAATTTTGCACGTCAGGATAATTATTGACAACCGAAACTATTCCAGATATGATCGAATGATAGTTATCAGTCAGCCTTTGAAGTTTCTTGTAATCTTACTGGCTCTCGATCCTTTCTATATGTTGAAGATCTGTAATTGCTCGTTGGTTATCAGGGGTGATATTTTGGCTAGTGAATTTACTTCGAGTCCATCGGTAACCGAATGACATTCTTTTGGCGATGATGCTGAGTACTTATCATCACCAAAATACTACATAGTGTAAGCTTTGTGTTCGATTACGGAAAGAGTTGGGTCAGCATAAGTTCAGTGTACTAACTATTGGGATGTCTCAGCCGTGTTTAGCTTCCGTTAATATTGTAGGTTGAAGATAGTCTCAAGGGAGCCGTACTTGTCACCTATGCACACACTTCAGCTCTCGCTTTTTCATCGATGGATGACATAATTATAATCCTTATCTCAGGTGGAAGTGCAGGTTATCCAGGCCCTTAGAATAACCAGTCGCAGGCGTTAGATGTTTGCACCCACATGCTAAGAGCGTGTCCGGACACTACCCTGAAATTGCAGAATATCGTTCGAAGCACCCCGTAATCATTTTGACAGCAGCTTTATGTTGATTAGCTCGTGACCAGAAGGTGAGGCTGGACCACTGCTTAAAGTGTGGTTCATTTGTTTATATTTGTAGAGGACCCTGTAGCTGGTTAGTTCTCGTTTTACTAGTTAATTTTAAGCTCCAATACCTCAAAAGCCAAACAATTAGAATTCATTCCTAACTTGACTGTGACGACCAGTTCTACTTAGTTAACTTAAAACCTAAAAGAGTGTCATCGTAACTCAATTTGGTAGAAACAGCTACTTTTCACCCGTTTGTCTGAACAACTGAGTAGATTCTATCTGCATGATTCATGGATATTCTGGAACGCCTGATATTTGGCAGGGATATATAACACTAATTTTGCTAACTGATATCATTATGTACTACTTACTTGGGAGACGTTGTTATGCATGTGGCGTTTGTGCTTTAAATCATTCTGTTATTATAACGTAGAAATTAAATTAGCAGCAGTTACGTTATCGTATGAACGTGTATTTCTGATTTGAAGGCTTAGGAGTTCATGCCGGGATGTGAAGTCATATTAGTGGGAATCCGCGGGAAGGGTAATGTCAACGAGGAAATCCGAGTAGCTTGAAATGTCGCTTAGTGTTTACCTGCTGTTACCACTTGAAGAGCCATTACCAACCTAGGAGCAATGGATAGCTTCCTGCTTTGTTTATGGGGCGTTAACTTCAGCAAGATGGTTTCCTCCTCTGAGGATTATTCCCTACCAGGTCGTGTTTCAGTTGTCACATCTGAATTTTTCCCTGACCAGATAGTCGCACTCCGCTAGGTTCTGGAACGCGGACACTTACCGACGCTCGACATCAGCTGTATTTCTCTATCTGAATGCGGCGTTCGACTCCGTCATTTGGGAAGTCTCATGGCAATGTCTCTCACGGAAACGGGTACCGAATAAGTACACCACTATCAAATGCTCTTTACTCGAGTACTTGAGGGCATGTCAGAGCTTGTGATGACTTGTCAGGTGAGCTGTGTGAATCGAGTGGTGTCCATCGGGGATGTCCACTCACTATTCCCTCAACTTTTTTCACAGACGTTCTTGTGAAGGTCCCCCTCTCCTCACCTGACATCGCATGGATTGATCCAACCATAAGAGTCTTCTTGGTATATTTAGAGTGTGCAGATGACAGTTCGTAGTACAGAAACCATGAATATTTGCAGGAATGTTGGGTAAGCACATCGAACTCATGAATGTGGTCTTATTTCATTTTTTATGTGAGCGCTGAGATCCCACTTGGGAGCCCAGACAGTAGTGGGTGGTTATCTTATGGGACCAGTCTGTTAAGTCAAATCCGCTAAACAGCACCTGACGAAGACACGAATTTCCAGGGTTCCCAAAACCCAAAGTGAAACCGACGAAATCCGAAACAACTGGTTGCCAAAATAAGAGTGTATATTCATGCATTGAGTGAACCCTGCGAAAATTGTTCTTTACAACATAATATATGTACAAAACTCAGTTACAAACCTTCAACTTTGACGGCCACTGCAGTTTCTATCCAAAACGACGTATATTGGTAACGCTAATCGAAACGAGAGGTTAGATGTGGTTGTACACGCAAATTGAACGAAGTCGAAGCAAATGAGCCGCCAGTTCATATTAACAGACATGAAGTAGATAATGAAGACACACTCAATACTCGTCACCCTGGTAACTTTCTTTTCTTTCCGCAACCATTTACATGCGGTAATATTTGTTGCATGTGACAAACAGACACATGCTTTTTTTTCTTCAAGAATATAAAATGCGTCATCTGCTCTCACCAGATTTCACCACCTGTCGCGCCGCTGCAGTATTCATTTGTCTGTCGGGGTCTTCGAATGTTGCAGTTCACCCCGATTTAGTGTATAGCTGTGAACCATGACTATTAAAGGTGGAAGATATGAGAGGGCTTCAGGTGTTTGACCACCGTTGCCTTCGTAGTATAAGCCGTATTCGGTGGTGTTACCATGTCAATAATGCAGAAGTCATGTGTAGAGTTTTAGGGGGAGAAGAGGTAAATCAGTTGACGCGGTTTTGAACCCTCATCGACGGAGATGGTCGGGATGCGTGTTACGTATGCCTAGTCGCCGTCTGCCTCGTCTCACAATGTTAGCCCGAGGTGACCGGACTAAAACATAGCATGAATGTATGAAGTGCTTGACTGTCGGTTTGAGCCATGTGGGGGCAATGAAGATTAACGGGTTGGGGTTCGCAAGACGAGAAATGAGTGGAGACTCAGGTAACATAGTTAGGAACCGATGTCAGTGGCGCAGATGTATGCACACATTATCCTCATCTTTAGGTTACAACGAATCACTATTTTCTCATTCTTTTCTCTCCCTTCTTTTGACTGAACTTTAATTTTCTTCATTTTACGCTTCACTGCCTTTTCACTTTATGTACTGATATGAGCTGTGGCAACTCGGGCGGTTACGCAGAGATGTCTGGTTTTATGTTAATGTTGATGATGATGATGTGAAACATGACCATTAAATGTAGATTGGAGAAGGCTTCTGGTGTTTGCCCACCTTTGCCTTTTTGGACTAGGTCGTGCAGTCACCAAGTGAATGATGTAGAAGCCAGCTGTAGAGTTTTAGGAAGGAGAGGAGAGTAAGTCTATTAAGTCGTGAACCTCTATTAATGCAGATGGCTGGGGCATGTGTTACGCATGCTTAGTCACCGTCTGTCTCGTTGTGCAGTGTTCAGGCTAGAAGAAGGCTTGGGGTCGCCAGACTAGAACGTAGCATTACTTCATAAAATCTTTCACTGTTGATTTGAACCATGTAGGGAGATGCAGACTAGCTGGTTGGGGTCCACGTGACAACAAAAACCAGTGGTTGGAAACTAGGTGATATGGTTCAGAATCAATGTCAGTGAAGCAGATGTATGTACACTATCTTCATCTTAACCCACCATCCTGAAATCTGCATTTTTTCATCCTCCCTTTATTGCTTTCTACTGCTTTTGACTGGTTTTACTCTCTTTCGCCATCTTTCATCTAACTCTTGTTACTTGTTGTGGTTTTGAGGTGTGGTAACTTGGACTGTTGTGCAGTAATGCCTAGTCCTGTGTTGTTGTTGACTGATTTTGTGATGTTTTTCTCTGCTTAAGTTACATACAATCATCGTCTGATCACTTCTTTTATCCTAGGTGATCTTGGGTTAAGGCTGATCAAGTGATTTCCGTAGGTTACTCAAGCGTCCGACCTGTTGACATCAATCTCAGGTACGTTTTCCCTTCTAGTGGTCACTGTAGTTGTCATCTTGGTCTCAATTTCATGAGGTAAAACTTACTTGGCGCAACTTTGGCGGAGCTTAACTTTTTTTTGACATTTCCTTGAATCTGTTTGTAGCTAAGGGGAAGTTAATTTTAGCGTTCATAGTCCTTATTAATCGAACATCGTGTTTAATAAACAAATGAATTTAGCTCCCACGATACTAAAATTGGTATATTGCAGTGTCACCTTACTAGAAGTTCCTTCCTGAAAATGTTGTTAACATAGCTTGTGGTGTATGCTTATTTGTATGGACTGTAACTCTTCGGACTTCTGGTATTGATATCCACTTTGGAAATTCTTCAGTTAAAACAATGATATTGTCAGACAGCTGAAATAACATCCAAGACGATAGCGTGAGAACATTTAGTATGCATTTCACCTGCCAAAAATAGACCATTTCAGAACAGGTTTGTATCCATGCATGGTCTAATAATACAAAGAGATGTTTTTGGATGCAATGACTGTTCCATTTTTCCCATAGGTCTAACCAACCCCAACGGTTCGCTGTTCGTTAAGATCTTGTTTAGTACACGCGGTCCGATTTGCAAGCTTGTGTCTCTTGCCTACTTCATACTAAACGTGCTGCCAAGCAATGTGACTTTTCTGCCATATAAAAATTATCAGTGACGAACTTACGGGAGGCCTTAGATATATGACCACAGGGCAGACAGGCTTCAGCACTGGGTGCGGATGTTCTGACCATGTAATCACCCTCCGCCAAGCAATAGAATATAGATGCTTATCGGTGCCCAGCATTAGCTACATTTCTTGGCGAGAAAGTGACATTTGACTCCGTGGATCTGGGGCTTATAACAGTATCTTCTTCGTAAGAGGGTGCCAGGTAAGTGCTTCATTCTGCTGAAGACTGTGTATTTAAACACTCGTGGGCATTTTAGAGCCTATGGTAAGTTATCAAGTGAGTTGTGTACGTCGAGTGTAGTTCATCGGGGATGTCTTCTCTCACCATCCTTATTCGGTTTTGTTATAGATATGCTTATGGAGGTCTTCTGGTAGTTCTTATGTCGGGTAGCTATCATGTCAATAACGTAGATATCAGTCAGTCAGCAAGTTTATGCGACTTTATCGGGCTTGAGAAAGGTGAAAGGCAACCAAAAAACATGAAATGAGTCCTAGAAGTCTCTGATTGTTGGTGTAAACAGTCTAGGGAATTTTAGAATTCTGGATTGTTCTGCATGGCGATGATAACCGGTGGTATTATACTAGATAATATTGCTCAGGATTTTCAGTGATGCAGATGCACACACGCACTATTTCCATCTTCATTTCCCTACCGGACTTCATTGTTGTCCCATTCTTCGTGCTATTTCCACGATTGTTTATTCCTTTTGTAACTGCCTTACTTCTTTATCTTTCATCTTGATGCTTTTTTTACCTTGATGTGCTGACAGAAGGCATTGCTACTGGGACCGTTATACCGTGATCCCAGATTCCATGTAGATGTGACTGACTCATATTTCGCAATATTACTCGCTCATGGTGGAATCATGAGCAACTCAAAAACTATACGCAGAGCACTAAGTGAAGAATAACTCTGCATCGGGTAATGACGTTGTGTACATTTATTGAAGTAAGACAATTACGATGTGTATGCTGAATCACTACCTACTTTAATATGCTTCGTCAGTCGGAATGAGATTAGGTTAGTGAAAAAAGCTAAGACCAGAGGTGAAAAAACTTGTTAAGGAAGCCTAAAAATGACCTACATTTCAGTATGAAACTCAGAAAAGGCTTTCTAACGTAGTTATCCACTTCAGGGCTTTTTTGAGCATGTACGCCGATGAAGTGGATGAAAGTTGCTTTGTAGTTTTTTTCGCGTAAACTCTCATCCAATATACAGCTGTTACCTTAAAATGTTGATCAAGGATTTTATATTATGAAAACCCAAAGATCTGTTTTCTCTCGAATGAATGCTTCTTGAAATCTTATAAGGGCGTAGAGGTATGTCATATATTTGTAAGACTAGAAGCATGTGATGTAAAGGTGTTAAAACGTAGCAGTCCTTTCCAGTTAACTGAAAACTGTCTCCTCGCAGCCGCGTCAGCACTCAAGTTTTTTCTGGACACCAACATTCTACTTGGGGTCTTAAATTTTCTTCAAATATTTCTGTTAATGTTTCAACTTTTTTTCATTCCAGTTCTGCAGAACTTGATAGCGATCCAAGTTAAAAAAAAAAGCAACCAACTTTTTAAAACCACGTTCTGAACTTGAAGTTTTTGACGACCTAATTTCTGTCTAGATAGAACACTATTTTTGCGTCTCGGGTGATAAACTTACGCGATATTTCTGGGACACGCTTACATAGTGATGAATTTTCGAAAACTTCTTGTGAGTATCTTGTCTTCTCGGCCAGCTCGCACCGTCATATTGGCCTAAGCGTTCCAATTTCACGCAATTCGTCCTTGGTTCAAATCCTGCTCCATCTACTTCTGCCTGGGTAACCGGGTCGTATTATAAATCCCTTGCACTTGAAATATGACCCATGGCATAGTGCATAAATACTTGTGCCGAGTTGAGTTACATCGAATTATTTTCCAGCTACAGCGTTAAGCCCTCAGACACAAGACACACTACTCGACCGCACCCAAGTCAACCGTTACCTGTTAGCTGTTCAATTAATTGGCTTAGTAAAGACCACGATTAATATGTACTAGTCAGACTTCGAGTAATTTTGAACGACTTGGACGTCTTAGCTCTGCTAGTTTGGTTACAATCAACCAATCAATATAAGCACAGGACTAGACATTACTGCACAACAGTCCAAGTTACCACACCTCAAAACCACAACAAGTAACAAGAGTTAGATGAAAGATGGCGAAAGAGAGTAAAACCAGTCAAAAGCAGTAGAAAGCAATAAAGGGAGGATGAAAAAATGCAGATTTCAGGATGGTGGGTTAAGATGAAGATAGTGTACATACATCTGCTTCACTGACATTGATTCTGAACCATATCACCTAGTTTCCAACCACTGGTTTTTGTTGTCACGTGGACCCCAACCAGCTAGTCTGCATCTCCCTACATGGTTCAAATCAACAGTGAAAGATTTTATGAAGTAATGCTACGTTCTAGTCTGGCGACCCCAAGCCTTCTTCTAGCCTGAACACTGCACAACGAGACAGACGGTGACTAAGCATGCGTAACACATGCCCCAGCCATCTGCATTAATAGAGGTTCACGACTTAATAGACTTACTCTCCTCTCTTTCCTAAAACTCTACAGCTGGCTTCTACATCACTCACGTGGTGACAGCAGGACCTATGCTAAGAAGACCGTAATTATGGTGTGTGCTCCACACCATTAAAATCCAAAATGCTATTGCCGGATGTGCTGGAGCCTGTTCCTGCTCTCACTCTCGGTGGTGAGTCGTGAGAAGTAGTTGAAAAGTTCGTCTATCTGGGTAGTTGTGTGAGTGCTAGTGGATGTGTGTGGTGAAATTTCCAACCGCATATCAAAAGCCTAAGTGGCATACGTCAATCTTTGCCACCCTTATCGCCGTCGCGACGTCAGTCTGACTGTGAAAGGTTGGGTTTACAACGCTTTGGTGTGAGGAGTTCTGCTCCACGCCTGTGTAACCTGACCTCTCCGAGCTGAGGATATGCGATGACTGCGTGTTAAATCATCATTGTCTCCGTTGGATCGCTCGTATCCGGAGCAAACATCGTGTGGGTAATTCTGAGGTTAGACAGCGTGCGTTCAAGCATGATGGAAATCGCATTCAAAAAGTGAAGTTGTCTGGAAACACTGGCTTTGGTGACTTGGGTATATGTTACGCATGTTGTTCCAACGGCTTCCATATCTTTCATTGTGTGCTGACCCTCGGGCGGAATGATTTAAGCAGAGGGGCGTTCTCTGTTTGATGTGGCGCCGTGGGTTGAGTGGTAGTTTTATCGGGTTAGCATCGCGACTCCCTGGGTGGGCTCCGAAAGATCGTGTGGCTCAGTTGCTTGAGACGTTTTCAGATACGGCTCGAAATTGAAACCGATGGCCATGCTGTAGTTTTCTTCAGTCTTCTGCAGGTGTAATGTGATGAACGTTTTGTTTTGAATGTATCTTATTTGACTGCCTTTCTAGTAATATTATTCTTATTGTGCTTCTTTTCGCTTCTCTTCTCTTTATGTCTTCATAATGTTGTTACATATTGCGTGGCGTATTTCTTGATGCTCTTGGTGTACGAAGTCTGCTTTCTAATAATAGCGAATAAGAAGGCAATTGTGATCAAACTGCCAAAGCTTTCTCAAGTCTTCTACCTTCATTGTTCATGTTTCACAGCTATACTGTAGAAGACGAACTGCATCACAGCACGCTCGACCCCTAATAGGTAATCGGGTATTGCGGTGGTGCAACAGATGGAGTAAGTTTGGCGCACTGGTGATCTCAGCCTTGAATCGGCGTGAAAGCTGTCAGCAGTTTAAGTCTTGATGTGACGATCAGGTACTGCTGATCAGCACAAGTGGTCTACAGTTGTTCATATCAGTTACTATATTTCGCAACTTTGATGCCATTGTTACTGTCGAGCAAGTCACGTTTTGTGGTCGGAACGTATTGGTTTCTTTTGCAAACCTTGGTGGAATTTCACGGTTTTGTCTCATTTAGTCGTGTTGTTCTCACCAAAAACTAATTTGCAAACACCTGATTTTGGGCAAGCCTTCATAATTCAGTAGCTGCAGCATATGCACTCACCTACTGCAGTATGTGTTAAGTAATGAATAGGTTTTTCTCAAAACTATCCAGCGAAAAACTTTGAAAGAATGATATTCCCTGATGAGTTTCGTTTGAAGATAAGATACTTGATCACTGGTTGGAATGCAGAGAAAGATAACTGAATGAAATAGATGTGTTGATTTTTGATTAGACGAGAGGTTTGTGACATTTGTTATGCATGAAAAATCTTTTCGTCTCTGTATATCCTGGTGAGAAAATGGTGACATCGAGTGAGTTACCTTTGTTGGGAATAATCCTTTTCAATACTCCATAGGGATTTTTTCGGTGTATAAACGAAGGGTGAGAATAGAATGTACTATCTCCCATAATTTTTTCGCCACCAGCGGCAAATTGAGCAAGAAATTATAGCATTAGATTTTAATTTGAATCCCGTGTAAAGTGCATATTCAACCTATTGACTCTGTGGTATCTATATTTCTGGAGTAGCGGTCTGTTTGGAAGTAGTCTATGCCCTTTGTAGTACCTGAAAATATTTATCACAGTTGATTTTCAGAATTCATGCTTGCCTCATAAGCTATAAGCATATATTTGTGAGCTTGTCGATTTTTTGTGCTAGTAACTGTTTTATACGTCGTTTCAGGTGTGTTGCCGATCCAATCCCACTCTCTCAGTATGTGATAGCTTTGATTAAAAAGGACAAAGGAGAACAAGAATTAAAAGAAATTTGTATCGATCAACTTGAAGTGTTTTTACAAGAAAATACTGCTAAGTTCGTAGAGGATTTGTTTACTGCACTTAAATCGAAAGCGTATATCACAAGTGACGTTTCCAAACCAAACCAGCTAATATCTGAGAACTCTAGCTCAAAAGAACTATCTTCTGTCAAGCCTCATTGTGCAACGAATTCAGTTGATAATGCATCAAAAGAAAGAAAGAGACACTTATCTAACTGTAACACCAATGTCTCAACTTTCACAGACAGTTCCGTTCCCAAACAAAAAAGAAAACGTTCACCTGATACAAGAACAAAAAGGATTTTATCACCTGGACGTTCACGCAGTCCTCATTCACCTGTACGACCAATAGGTAACACAGCTGCTCCTAGCAAACAACATCCCAAAGAATTTGAACCACACATTGATTCTTGCAATCGTGCACGTCACAACGACCATGTAGGAGAGTTCGGCTTAAAAGTTGTGGATAGTCATAGACGTCATTCATCAGGTTTGTCATTAACTCTTTTTCATTTAGTTTGCTAGTATTTGCTGGCATTTATTCATTTAAAGATTTCAATCCCGTTTACATTTTAGGTAGTTCAGGTGGAGAAGTAACACACATGAACACAAATTCGTCGCGTCGAAATAAGTATCGTGAATCGGAATCACAAAAACGTAACAGTCGTGAACGCATTCATTCACGTGACAGAGATGAGCATACTAACCGTTCAGCTAAAACTGTTATAAGATCTGTACCTGACAACAGAGTAGTTGATGAAAAGTTTCGAGGTCTAAGAAATCGACGCTGTCGTGACTTTGAAGAGCGCGGGTTTTGTGTATATGGAGATAGATGTCAGTATGACCATGGCCCGAATGCCTTGGTGATTTCATCTGCTGAATCTGTGCCTGCTATCACCCACCTTACAAATCCCCTATTAGATCCTAGTGCTCTCACATCAAATAGTATCCCGGATTTATCAATAAATATTAGAAAGGAGTCATCGAAATGCAATGCAGTTCAGCCACAATCTATTGTAGCAGCTGTTATATCTGCCCAAACTGACTTTAATGATTTAAATCAACAAATAGCTGCTCCTATAATTCCTGTTTATCACCCGACTCCAAGTACGTCCGTTTATTGATTTGTGTGGTGTTTATCTAAAAAGTGAAATGTACTACCAGTATATTTTTTGGTTGAATTAATTAGCTTTTAATAGTAATGCTGACAATTCTGGATGAGGTTTCTTTTCAATAAGTATCTAGTATATCCGATAGAAAGGTGCTAAGTGAAACATGATTTCTGTCCTAGATTTCGATCAGTTTGTAAATTCAACTTAAATCTAAGCATATATACAAGAAGCTCATCTCAGAAAGTCTGATGGAGCTAACCAATGATTACAATTCAATAATATCAAGCATAGGCAATAGTAGGTTGTACAAGACATTGGTTTATGGTGTACCGAAGAGACGAAATATGCAAATGAACTTTTTTCCGTGTATATGATCTTATACACCTAGAATATCAGCATATATTTGTTTGCTTAATGGTGTCGTTATTTTGTTTACATGAGGGGTTTATGTTCTCACAACCAGAGTTCTTGAAAAATCTATCAGTGTAGCTACAAAATCTTATGATCTTTGTACGGATAAACTAAAATATTTTAATACATATGTGCTACGCTCAAGCTTTTGCTTTGTTTCCATTGTCAGAATCCATTTTTATGAATTCCTCTGAGTTCCTACTTGTTTATATACACATTTAAAACTACACTTTCTGTTAGTGTTTATCCTGTCATTTTGCAACAAGTCATGATATGCTCTGAAATCATACGACATTTATTTATCTACAAGAAGTGTGTGATTATTTCGCATACGATAGTGCATAATTAGCTCCACAAACTATATATATCCCTGCACTGGACTGTTCGCAGGTGGTGAAAAGAGGGAGCGATTGTTTATGCTTTTATTTAAACTTTTATAATTAGTATTATTGTGGATATTTTTAAAATTATATGAGACCAAATAAAGCGTTGAAGGGAAACAATTTATAAGGCTGCGTATTTTACTTATGTGAACATGATCTCTGTTTGTGAACATATAATCTGGAGCGCAACTTTTAGTATTTGATCTACTGCGTAAATAGATACCTCATTTTCATTAAAAAGTATCGCTAATAGGGTATGAACAGTGTAAAGAACAGATATTTGTAATGATGAAAAAGATTCGTAGCTCAGGATGAGCATGTTAGTGGTTTGGTGTTCTCTGAACTTTGTCGTGAATCTTTCATCGTCTGGCTTGATAACATCTTCAGCACTAACTTGGTAAAAAAGTGAAGCATATTTGAATACTGCACGAATATTTGGATAGTGTTTTTATTGTTTTTGGGTGTTGTCTAATAGTAAGACGAGGAGGACATTTTAATCACGACCAAAATGGGGTTGTATCCGAACAAACCTAAATCAGATGGTTGGATTTTTGTACAGCGAAAATAGCTCTCCGAAGATGGAGTTAGGGTTAAATGACGATGTACTTCACAAAAGCTTGTTTCTTCTGCCGCACGGGGTCTGAATTGCCTGCCCAAATCGAGTAAAGTTTCTTGGAAAAAATCAATCTTTATTCTCATTTATGTTGATGTTTGAGAATGTCGCATTGTTTGAGAAAAAGCCGCGTTATGCATTTCTTAGTCCATATGTAGTGCAAAATCTTTCAATATTTATAACTCTTAGAGATGTCCTCTGAATCCGTTTCATTTTCTCTGTTTAAAACGACAGGGTGTTCTTTATATTCACTGTCATTTAACCACATCAAATACTTGCATACAACGGTATACACTTCTAGAAGTGGAAAGTGTGCAGTTAAAGGTCAAGACTGGCTATGTATCACACTTTTGGTTCAGTGAATGCATTCGATCCAGTCATGTCAGATACACTGACTTTTGCAGTCCACATTCTCGCATACAAAGTGAAAAGCAATTGGGTGAGAAAGTTTAAGTGACCAAAATATTGCTATTTTATGTTATTATTATGGTGTAGATTCCGAAAATGCATGATAAAGTAAAATCCTCCAGCGTAACGAAACAATGTTGTCATAAACTAAAGGAAAGACCAAGGATGGTGATATTAGGCATATAGAAATAGCGAGCTGTATGCAAAACCTACTGGTTTCATGCAGATTTTGTAGCTAGAAGTGTGCATGGTAAGAAAGTAGGATACCACTCAACCATCGTGTGCACAGGTCTGTCTACTCCAGCATAAACTAAGCCTAATCAGTGTTTGATAGAGTGGAGTTTGCATCGGATAAACTGGTTGAAAGTCAACTACCTAAGCCAGTAAGCCAAAAGCTAGTAACGATCAGTGTCATCTTGCTACTTTGTTAGTTCTGATTAGTTCACGTAATACTTTTGTACTTCTCAAGTAATTTGTCTGTATATCAACATATCTGTTAAGTAAGATGCACCAACTGATATTTATTCGTTTATTATGATTTCTGTAGGTAAGAAATGTTTAATAATATTCAACATTTCCTATTGACCAGATGGAAAGCAAAAGCTACTGTCATGAAAAGTTTTTCTAGGTAAAGAGGAGTCTTATCTTTCGGGAAAAGGACTTCATGTGATTACTGTTTTGCGTTCATCAGCTATTAATTTTAAGTATTTAGAAAACGTATGGATGTTTGGTGCCTTAGGTTTAAAGTAAGACAACAGTCAAGTAACAACTTTGCTTTTGATGTATAATTTAACATGTCACATTTAGTTCGAGAAACTTCATTGTCACAGATTTTTATGTCGTGTCTGATTTTTTGACACTTTCATTTAGTCAACCAACCAGATAGTCAAATGCTATTGGCGTGTTGTGTTGATCAGTCACCTGATACCGGACTACTTACTCAGATTGCTAATCCTTCTATTTTGTATAATAATAATAAAGGCAACTGGAAAAATCCGCGTCTACCTAACCATGCACAGCAACGCCTCAATAGTTTCCGCACATTTGGTAATTCCGTGAGTCGAAACATAGTCCCTTTGCCAATGGTTGAAAATATTCACAACAATGAAGCTCAATCAGCTGTAAATCCAACGCCGCCTGCTTATGAACCAGATCGACCTCACTTATCCATGATTTCGACATCTGAGTGCAATATTCCTCAGTCTCGTGATGTTTCTGATATGGAGCACATTGCTTCTACTCCACCTTTGTCATACACACCCAGTCCTATCACTGAACAAATCAGTTCGTATGCCGTTATCCCGAAAGCATCTGGAGTCAATGATCTTTCACTTGATATCACTTCTGAAGCTAGTGATCCTCGTTCCATTTTGTATATCAATCGTCTTCCCTGGCGATTCAACGATGCAGATAAAATCCGTGAACACTTTGCTCAGTTTGGTAACGTGATAAATGTAATTGCTAGATATAAAGGTATGGCAGACACTGCAGTGGTTGTATTTTCATCATCTGATGAAGCTGAAAAAGCATATCGAAGTCCAATCCCCATGTTCTCGAATAGATTTATTCGTATTTTTACTCGACTTCCGGAAAATTTCAAACAGAATGCACGAAATATGACTCGTCGTTTTCCCCGACCGAAGGTTAGATATTTTGATATTTTAACTGTGATTTAGATTAATAATAACAAATGTGATTTATGGATGGTTGTTGATTCCTCCCATTTTTAGCTTTTATGATAATGATCTTGATAGTAGTTTTGGTGCCATAGGCTACCTTTTAGCGAGTTGTACACATAATGATATCCTAGTAGATGACGTAATTCGAAGGCTGTCAACCATTGTACACAACTTAAGCCCATGTTCGCTAGATTGTTACTCCATCAAAAACAAATCTGGTTAGTTTTACTATACAGAATGAGCAACTTGCAATGTATGGTATATAGTTTCGTCTATGTTTTAAACTCAATGTTTGTGATATTGATTTGTGGTAATGTTCAAGAAAACGAATTAAAGTTACAGCTCCTTCGCTGTTCTTAACGTAGATATTCAGTTGTTTGGTTTTGAACTTCATGTTTTCATGATACGTGGTTTTAATCTCATCGCAGTCCAGAATTCATTTTCTTGATATATTATCCAGGAAACGTGCTGAGTACTGTTTGTTGGTCAAGTTTGTTCACAGTTTCATATGTTGAAATTCGTTGGTTGCACTGTGACCTTTGGAATGAGATACACTGACTATAGATTTACTTATTTAGCATCCGACTAAGTTTGATTCCCTGAGATACATACATGCATTCAAAACACTAGGCTCATTCATTTTTTTTACAACTTGACAGATGAATCTATTACAATAGACAGTTACTAAAATGGTGTCTGTAAATCCCTTACACGATAGATCAAACAGCATTTGCTTAAGAAATGCGTGACTAGGTGGTCAGAACATATGAGTGAGAGGGTAGCTGCAACTGTATGTCGCAACAGATGGGAGCTATTCTAGCTCATACGAACCACTAGCAACAAGCCGTCAGTAAGACGGTCTGTAAGGCGGATAGTACACTGACCACCAACTTTCATAAACGTGCGGAACTCTGGAGGAGCATGTCGAAGAGCAGTCCAACTGACCTGTTCCAGTAACATCCAACTTAATTTCTTGTGTTCCATGATCATTTAGCACCAATCCATCTATATGAAGGCACTTAAAGAACCCCTAGGTTCCAAAGCTCCACTAGGCACTCTGCTCTTTTTAAGGATGGAGGTGAGTGTTTGGCACGCATTTCGCACCTATCAAATGTAAGGTGATGCTCCAGGCATGATCGGTCTGCAACCACTCTCAGTTTAATGATAGGGATTGAATTGGTGGAATATGTCGACCACTTCATTGACTTGAGGATTTGCATCAGCCTGCCGAACAGGCTGGTTACTGACGAACTCTCAGTCTGGATACCGAAAGCCCGTTTGACACTTGCCAACCTGCATAATCTGTGGCGCCGGTAAGATATCCGACTAACTCTCTACCAAAGGACGAATATACTGCGATGCAGTGCTTTCTGCCTTGCTACACGGCTGTGAGATATAGCCGTTAAAAGTAGAAGATATGAAGCGGTTGCAAGATTTTGAGCCACCACCTACCTAGACACGCGGTGCTGGGGGGAGTCGCATTGGGTTGGAAGAGGGTTGAGGGGGACCAGACCGAGACCTAGCACCAGTCAATGAGCCTCAGCCGTTTTGGGAGGTGTTGACCGCCTGGTTAGGGTCCCTAAAACCACAGGAATCAGTGGTTAAGGTCCGTCAACATGGCTGATAATGGGTCACAGTTGTGCAGACCTATACACTTCTTGAAATATAAAGCTAGAACATTTGCACTGACCTTCATCTTAAAGTTGTTTGTTCTCTCACACCACTTTATCTACTTTGATATCACTCAATTTCAATCCCCTGTTCTTTGTGTACTATTGTGAAGTGTGGTAACTTGTGCCGATGAACCCGTGTATAAGTTCCTACTTTGATTTTGTGAGTTAGTTTTTGTTGTAGACGGTTAGCCTAAAACATGACATGAGTCTGTAAAATCTGATGACCTGAGCCACATACGGAAATGTGAACTTCTCTATAGCACTTGACAACAGAATCCAGTGGTTGGTGATTTTAGGTAAAATGTCTGAGAATCCATCGCATCGGTGCAGAATTGGCCGCACATCATCTTAATCTTGATCTTCATATAACTTTTTGTTCACTTACATCACTTTGAATTTCTGCTAGTGATAACTTTTTTATTCCTTTCTTTCCTTACAGTGCCTTTTAACCTGAGATAAGATGTAGCACTTTAAACCTTTTTTTCATTTTTTTCATGCTTAGTTGTTTGCCTTGTCCATTCAAACTACAGTATTAGGATGTCTGTCAAGCGCCATTGTTCTGGAAGGCTAATTAGTTATTGTTAGAACCCATTCTTAGTCTCATTTGTGCTTCATTTAATTAGCTATTGAGTAAGGGCATCATTCATTTTGTCAGTTACTTTTCATTAACCCTTTATGCAACTTCGACACCACGCAGTCCCCACATAAGTGCACATAAGACAGTTTTCGAGGAGACTTGTAGAAATAGTATCTAAGGTACTACACAAGTTTTATCTGTAGGTCTCTAAAACATAACATGCACTAATCGCTAAACCCTAGCCAGAAACTATCGGTTGCCTAATCTCCATCATGGTACAGAGACTGAAGTCAGTAAGCTGAACTGCTTATACATGTTACTTGAAGAAAGTGGTGGTGGATATCTGAATGTTAAAGACTTTTTCGTGGAAGCAGCTATTGAAAAGAATGAAATAGCTCATATGGATCAGAAGTTCAAATAGAAATGAGCAACCAGGGGATATAAATTTCAAGATTATGGAAAACCTATCTCATTATTATTCGTCTTTTGTGTTCCTAGTGAAACATACGGCTTCAGTAGCACGTCGCCATTTCACTCTCTTCTCAGCAGTCTTTTGAACCTGGCTCCACGACTGCCCACAAGCTTTCATTTCTTCCTCACATGATCTCCTTCATATCACCCTCACCTCGGATACCCAGCTTGTCGTTTCCGCTTTGGGTTCCACTCGAGGGCTTAGCCTGGTGTGTTATGTCCCCGAATAGTCTTAGTGTGTGTTCGATTCAATTCATCGCCACTTCTGCATATTTGTCGGGCGATGGGTTCCTGTTTGGTTCGTTGCTGGTCAGAGTTCCTTGTTGCTTATTCTTTCTGGCCACCTGATCTTCAGTATCGAGTGAGCGTAGACGGCAGCTGTTGATGTATGAGTGCAGTTTGTTGGAAATGCTTTTCTTAACGCGACGCCAAGTCTCTCAACCATCACATAGAAGCACTGACTTACTTGACTGATATTAGTGTTAAAAATCCAGATCTTGTTCTTTGTGCTGAGTCCAGTGCAGTGCATTGCAGTAGATCTCCACACTGATTTCAGATTACTGAAGGCAGGCCTGTTTTGCTGTCTTTCTGATCCTGGCTTTGACATCCTCATCTGCGCCGCTACACCTGTAGTTGAAACGATACTGCCTAGGTGGGTAGGTGAAAGAGACTACTTCCTTAAGATTTCTCCCGTTGATGGTGGTTAGTGCTTGTTGTTGTTGGTGGCTGGGTATCTTCATCACCTCTGTCTTCTCTACGTTCACTTGAAGTCCCGTCCTCGCTGCCTGTTCTATCAACTTGTTGGTTTTTGCGTGTAAATCTTCGAGTTTGTGCGATATTAGACATAAATGATCATCGGCGGAGTCCAAATCTTCTTCTGGGGTCTTTTCACCAACCCAGTCAGCGTATACCGCCCCTCTTCTCGCTCCTCACAGTTTGTTGCATGATCCAGTCCACCACAATCAGGAAGATGATCGATGATAATAGGCGACAGCCTTGTCTTACTCCTGTCTTCACTTCAAAGTCATCACTGAGCTTTCCATTGTGAATCACTTGGCATGTGGCTTCGTATGGCATGTAGTTGTTGAATGAGGTTGATAAAGGTTTATGGCGCTGAAATTGTAGTGTTGAAGCTGCTGCTTGCCGAATTACCTCTCGGTCGACGCTATCAAAGGCCTTTTCTAAATCGATGAAGTTGAGGTAAAGATCCAGTTGGCTTGGATTCTATGCTCTGTTCTATGATGATGCGTAGCGTGGGGTTGCAATTTGATCCGCACATGATTTGTACTTCGTAAAGCCAGCCATCCTGTTTCGGTCATAATTTTCAATCCAGGGTGATGCGGCCTAATATTTTGCTTAAGGTGGACAGGAGCATGATTCCGCGCCAGCTCTTGCAAAGACTTTAGTCACCCTTCTTTGAAAGTTTGACGAAGTAGCCCTTCTTCCAATCGGCAGGTACCTTTCCTTCCTTCCAAACCTGCAATAGTGGTGTGAGCATGTCCACTGTCGTCTCTGCGTTTGCTTTCAGTGCTTCTGAAGGAATTCCACCTAGTCCTGCTGCTTTCCCGGATTTCATCAACTTTATGGCGTTCAGGACTTCACTTCTACTTTTGTCGGAGGGTTTGTATTCACTGGTAGTTGTGTGGCTGGGCTGCTGGTGGTATTTCTGGACGCGTTGCAGGTGGTGGTGGTCGCTTCGAGAGTGTTTTGAAGTGGTCAACCCATCGTTTCATTTGTTTCTCCTCCTCTTTGGCAACTAAGTTTCCTTCACTATCTTCTATTGGTTTCGTCTGAGTTGATCTCTTCCCTCCTCAGATAGTAACCTGGTTAGTTGAAATAATGTTGTCAGGTCTCTCTATCTCTCCTACCTGCAGCCTGTTCTGCTTCACTTGCCAGTGTATCGTAGAAATGTCTTTTGTCTTTGCGTTCACTCTTCTTCACTTCTTTGTCCAGTGTAGTGTTTTATAGCTTCTATTCAGTTCCTCTTTTCGCTGTTCATCCCTACCTGCACTGGTTCATGTTCTGCTTTATAGGCTTCGATGTGTCCGTGGACATGGATTTCTTTGCCTTGCTTCTCCTTCCTTGCTAACACGGTTATGCCGGTTTCCTTCCACGTCGCATGGAAAAACTAATATATGTAAATCAACATGCATATAAGTACAATAGCAATCGAATAACTGGGTACCGTTTTTAGTGTGTAACAGGCCTAATTATTTTTATGGTTTCCTCTACCCCATCGTCATTCCGTTTAAATCTGAGAACTCATACACTTGACCAGCCTAAGATCGATTTCTATGTTCGGAAACCAAACGATTATCTCTGAAATTTATTTTTCTTCCTCCTACTCTTCTAAGGAACTTGTCACAAGAAAACAGTGAGCAGCACTCAGAGAAGAATACCAAGGTTTCAAGTAAAAAAAAAGACTCTAACCACTACCGGTCACTTACGGAGAATAAATTTTAGGTTCAGAATTGTGAGGAGAGTGGGTAACTTTTTAAGTCGTGACCTATTCACCATCTAGTTATTTAAAATGCCTTGAATGTAACGTTTTACCCTTCTGTTTAAATGAATTTTTCTCGCATCACTTTTCGCAAATCTAAGTACTGATAGGGTGGAAGGACGCATCGTTCTCCTTTATAGTAAACTTGTTTATTTTAGTCGAATGTTCACTTGTTTAGAAAATGCCTAGTGGCTGGGTCCGTTGGATATTTATTCTGCCTTTTTATGCTGATCTAAACCCTATCATTGCTTTTGAAGATGCTAAGAGGACTCACTAAGTTTGTCTTCACAACTAATGTATTTTTAATTACATTATAGAGCATATTGGATCGTTTGGGAACAAGGCCAATCCCTTCGATTAATGACAAAATCAATTCCTATTCCTGGATGAGTATGAACCATGATCGGACAGAAAATCAACAAATTCCCACTGAAATTCTTCCAGATGATACTCTCCAGAGGGGTAACAGGTCTCGATGGCGTTTAGAACGAAATCCTACCAGTGGAGATGCGTTATTGTCTGGCGATGAGGAAGATGAAATGATTGGCGAAAATCTTGCCATAGATCGTGAACAAAAATCTAATTTTGTTATAGATGGCGGCAGAGTTGATTGCAATACTGACAAGTCATTAGACAACTTTGTTGGTTATAATGTAGATCAGGAATCATTATTATATACTTCTACTTTAGTAAGTTTAATACGTGGGCTATGAACAACTGGTTTATTCTTTGTTTGTACGATTGAGAAATTATCATATCACGTAATACTTTCTCACAAATTTTTTTATCGTAGAAAATATACTACTAGGAAGCTCATCGATTATGATTACTATCTTATAATCTCGTGTAGAAATTTATTATTGAATAGTGAATGACGAATTTTATTTTGTTAACACAAGAAGTTTATTGAAAATTGTCAAGGCATGCTTACTAGGAAATATATGTTCAGTCCTTAAATTAAATGTGTTATAAAGTCGAGAATACATGCACACTTTGTTATACCACGCAGGTCTAACATTTTTTGAATTAAAGATAATTGCAATGCGAATATGTTCGCTTACTCTTAATTTTCACTCATGATATGATAGTCACAACATAATACAGTATGATTACAAAGTTTTCAAAACGTCTATATACCTTATGTGTGTTAGACTGTAAGCTATCAACTTGTGAAAGTCATTCTCCATGCGAACATTAGAGGATAAAGTTTAATTCATATCCCTAATAAAAAAAATCTATTGTGTCCATTTTGTAATGGTGATTTTTACCGCAGTTACGGTTGGGCTTTCGTATTGCTTATTTTTTTTGCAAAATATCATTCAATATACTGTCATCACCAGTTAGCTAACGAGATATTATCTCACCGGCATTGATTTTTCTGAGTCTGTCTAGCATAACTGAGATTGTAGCTATAACCATATATTCTAAGGTTAACTGATTTATAGTGTCATTGAAATCTTTTTTTTCCAATTTGAATACACTAGTCATATATACCCAGTAAGCAGTTAGTAATCCTAAGCTCATGTACTAATGTCGCTTGTGTGCATCGAGTGTAATCATCATTATGTGTGGTTTTCGCCGTACAGTAATTAGGCGACTGTCACGCTTTTAAACCACCTTCTGATAAAATTAGTTTATCTACTTGCTAACTGAGCATACATACTTCAATCTCTGAGACCTACTATGTTTAACATTTCTGTCTATATGTTTATCTATATAGACGAGTTTAAGTCACATAGTTGTATATTTTATTCTTAGTTTACGTCTTGAATTTCTCTGGTGTTTTGTATTATGCTTTATGCTTCAAAACAATAGAGCTAATTGGGTTTACTTTTTGGTTGAATCACTATTCACAGTGTAACAAGTTTATTTGACTAATGGAGTCATAACTATCCTGTAAAATCATTATAAATTTTCTTGTGATAATCTTTCTCTAAGGAAACACAGAAGAATCGTGGTCGTAATATGCTCGCTACTTCAAGTCCATATACTTTATCACATAAACAAGAGGCTGAAGCAATTTTATGGGAGCGACGTAAAATGGCTGCTTTGAAACAACGCAAAGAACAATTGATGCTTTTAGATAAGGTACTTTTTCACTTGATCAAAATTGTGCATAATCATTTACTTTATTATTTTGTAATCAGGTTAAAAAAAGTTTTTAGAAATTTCTTTCCTTTCAAAATAATGTTTTACAAATCCTTGAATTTTACTTTTCTTAGTCTCGTGAGGCTCGAGAATCTGCACTAGAAGCTCAAAAGCAGCGAATTGTTCGTTTAAAATTTCTTCTCAAACAAGTTATGAGTCAACTAGAAAACAATCAAACCGAAGATGCAAATGGTGTTGCAGAATCCAAACCATTGTCATTAGATGAGAGAAGAAAGTTGCTTACCGAAGCCAAACGACTGCAAAATGAACTTGAATCTGCTTTGGAAGCTGAGAAGAAAGCTTTGGCTAATCATACATTGAATAAAGAATCCAACACTAAAAAGATGTTCAACTCAAAACCTTTGGGAAGTACAACTATTAGTGCAGCAGCTTTACAAGCTCTTCCTGAACCAGTTAGATTAGAAAGACAAAAACAAATTTCAGAGGTATGTTACTTTAAGTTTTTTCTATTGAATTTTATTTGCACAATGAGTGGTTCCCGTCTCTATAAACTGTCATTTCTAACTAATTAATTTATCCCGGTCGATAGCTACTAACTTGATATGGTGGTTGAACTTGTGTATCACGATGACCCGATGAGCTACATTGGTTATAATGCTTGTTCACTCAAGGTCCTACCATGGCAGTAACGTCTGTTAAACTGTGGGAAGGTGAGAACCAGTAACCCTTATGGTGTAAACTGCCACCCTACAATTGGGGTCCGCGCGCGAGGTCATACCACTGGCTTTCCGGCGTAGAATAATCAAGTTGCACAGCAACAATCTTCGAAAGGTTGTTTGACAGACCAATTTTTCTACATGAAACAAAACATTCAGATATAGTTGTTATAGTAGCAGTTGATTTCAGTGCTCAAGTATGAAAGTTAAAGCAATCGAAATGCATTTTGTTGGTATCTATGGCATCCCATTCCAAAAAACAGACAACACTGATCGTCTGTTACAACTTTTCTCTGCCAACCGCTTGTTGGCACCAACTTCAGGCGATAGAAGAGACAGTGTCTCACGTGGTATCAACCAACAGCAAGCCAACGATGGACACAAGTATTTCTGTTAGTTATGACTTGATAGGATCGGTGAACGATTGCTGCTCTTTCTATACTACGCGTTTGGACCCCGATCACGCGTCATTATGAACATGTTTGTATATCTGCGCCTTACAGGTAGCAGAAAACAATTCACAGTGAAGCTTGCGTGTGCTCGATTGGGGAAGAATAACGTCAAGTGTTTATTTAGGTTGATAGCTGAGCATTTGTCTGAATGTAACAGCAATCCTCATCCTCAGGAAACTTGATCTGATATTTATCCTGTTGTAGAAACAACTGTGAAGATGGTCGTTATCTAATGTTCAAAGATTAACAAACGTGTGTACACGTCGTGCAGGTGGCCAAATCGGAATGTGAAAGCATGATAGCTGAAAGCTTGAGTAAAATAATTTAAATTACGATAGAAGATCGTTCAGGGTGGCCATATCTTAACATAGCATCAGAGATTGCTCCTTAGCGGTCCGAGTTGCCACACCTCATATCAGTACATCAAGTGAAAAAGGCGTTGAAGTGGAAGAATGAGATGGTGATGTTCGGTATAGCGTCATTAAGATGAGGATAATGTGTGCATACATCTGCGCCACTGACATCAGTTCTGAGTCATATCACCTAGAGTCAGTCTCCTACCACTGGTTCCTCTTGTCCCTCCGAGCCCAACCACCTAGTCTGCATCACCCCCACATAGCTCAAACCAACTGTCAAACACTTCATACATTGATGTCATGCCTTAGTCTGTACACCTCAGGCCTTTTTCCAGCCTCGACCTACTTCGACCAACATTGTGTGACGAGGCAGACGGTGACTAGGCATACGTAACACGTATCCCAACCATCTCAATCGATGAACGTTCAAAACCGTGTCAACTGATTAAGCTCTTCTCCCTTAAACCCTACTCCTGATTTCTGCGTTACTCACGTGGTGACACCACGGAATTCGGCAGCCTATACTACGAAGGTCAACGGTGGTCAAACACATGAAGCCTTCTCATGTCTTCCACCTTCAATGACCATGTGTCGCAACTACACAGTAGAACAGAGTTGACTACTGTGCAGGACACGTGGCCCTTAATAGACAACAGGTGGCGTAAGTTGGTAAAAGCCAGTCAAGCCTTTTGTATTCATGGAGAAATTTCACTGGATACTGAGCCACCAGGGTAGGGCTGATCCTACTTCCCAGGTAAGTGAATTGAAGTGAAATGGTCGACACACTGAACCACTTCACTCTATATTGTTAGCCGCTGTGGGGCATCGTTGAAGACCAATCGTGGAGCAATAATTTGCATTTGAGTGGTGATCAACGCATCCCAAACATTCTCAAATTCCCATTCAAATTGTTCAGAAGACTTTGTACCTTGTCAGTGTCTTCACCTAACCGAGCTGTGTCATCTGAATATTCTAGGTCTAACGAAAATTGTCCCGTGACTACGTCAAACCCTGTGTAGACAGGTGACGAGGGGGTAGACCTCCATGAGAATATGTATGGTAAGATTGAATAAGAATGGCGATAGTGGGCACACTTGACAGACACCACTCGATGAGTACAGTTCCCGGACATCTCACCATAGGTTGTGACACGCCCACAAGTGTTCGAGTAGAGAGCCTTCAATAAGGTGATGTACTTACTCGGCAGGCCTTTCAGTGTGAGGCGTTGCCATAAGACTTCTCGATCAAGGGAGTCAAATGCCGCCTTCAGGTCGAGAAATACAGCTAGTGTCGAGCGTCGATAAGCAGGTCTATGTTCCAGAACCAGGCGCAGTGTGAATATTTGGTCGATACACCAACGGTCAGGTGGTCTAAAACCTGTCTGCTTTTGTCGGGCTTGTTGTTCCCGAGCTCAACTGAGGCGTCGAAGAATTATGGAGCCTATAATTTTAGACAGTATATTCGCCAGACTGATTCCTGTGTGGTTATGACAAGAGGACTTCTCGCCTTTCTTGAAGACTGGAATGACCAGTGATGGGAGACCAGTCAGATGGGAGTTGGATTTGACCTCCATATACTGGTTGACACTTCTGTTAACCTGACTAAGAGCATTCTATCATCATCCTTGTATACCTATGGAGTTAGTCCATCTAGTCCTGCCACCCTTCCTCCTTTCATGTTACCTACAGCTTTCTTGACTTCTGCAAGTGTTAGGGGGGCCTATCTTAATGTTCCATTCACGATTTGACTGGATGGTGAGCAACGCAATGGTGGTTGGAGGTCAGTTAAACTATTTCTCGAAGTCTTCTGCCTATCGTTCCAGTGGTCTCCACTGCGGTTGAATCGCAGACCCGTCCTTCCCCCTTCCCCCCCCCTGCAGTCTCACTACCTGTTGTTGACCTTCCCCTCCCCTGAGTTTATTTAATAAGCCTAATTAACTGTCTACTGTTACCAATCGCCACTGCCTTTTCCATCTATTTAGCCTTCACCGCCCACCACTGTTCGCGATCGTTGCGTAGACTTTTTCTCAATCTACTTTTATGTAGCGCTCGCTCTTCCTTGTACTCAGAGCCTGTAGGCAAGTATGCGTTCATGTGCATCCATTAGTTCGGGAGAAGTTGGTGACATCCACTGACTCTTTTTAGCCACTCTTCCGGAGTCGACTACAGTCTTCAGCGCTGCGTTACAGCAGACTGGAGATGGCACGAAGCTTCTTCTGGGTGAGTGATAGTCTTTTGTTCCGATATCTGTCTAGCCAACTTCTCACTGAACACGGCTTTGTTGTTTTCGTTGTCCAGCAGCACTCGTAATGGTTTTGTTGCCGAAGTTTTCTTACATCTAGTCAGGCGTAAGCATGCACGCACTCGGACCAACGCGTGTTCGCTCGCTATCCAAACACGTACTCCGAAGAAGCAGCAGTCTTCCATCGATGGCTAATAACAATGCTGTCTCTCTGTGTTCATCTCTGAGTTGAGCCCGATGGACCGCAAGTCAGACAGTGTCTTTGTTTTTGTTTGAAATTTATTCTAGCTAAAGATAGGTGGTTATCTGAGCATATTTGTAGTAGGCGATCACTGTTATCTTTGTTCAGTCGAGATTCCGAAACTGCCATTTGACTGCCTTTCTGTCTCAGTGAGTCTACCCACCTGTGTGTTGAAATCACCTGCAACAACCACCACGTCTGAGCGTTTAGCTTTCGAGAGGAGGCTAGACAGTTATCGGTACTTTACATGCTGGCTACTTGGTTACGAGTGTGGTCAGGATTATGCGTCTCGGTGTTCGTCCCATAATCTGCAACCATTGTGGATGAGATGTCTTAAGACTAAGCTTATTTTTTTACTCAAGATTTTACGTAAAATATCCTTTACAGCTAGTGAGAAAGTCCGTTTCACACCAAAAGTTGCTAAAGTCTCCCCAATCAAGCCTACAGTGTTAAAGTGAAAGCCTTTAGAACACCCCTTCCGAGCTAACTTCTTCACTATTAAGTACTCGAAACTATGGAGTCATCTTCTTGTTGATATCAGAGCTTCCAGCTGAACTACCCAATTTAGTCGTATGTTAGAAGGATTATTATCCTCCTACAAACTCCCCAACGTATGGAGCGGACCACAACTATGTCCCATAACACTCAGTATATTAGGCCCCTTCAGTGTTGATCGAGTTGTGAGGGTGGTTGACACTTCCGGCTGCCCACACCGTGGAAGGCCATTTCTTCTTAAGGTACCTGGAAGGGAGTTGTGTGACCGCAGAGCCCACTGGACATGTGGTTGAGGCTTTTCACACACAGCCCTTTGTTTATGGTTGTTTTGGGGGCGGATGATCGAAAATAAACGATAAATGAGCCAACACCGCCAGTCTGGCTGACCACGAGGCACTGTGGAGTGGGTTATTCTTGGGTCCGACCTTTTCGTACTTTCGAGGCACCCTGCGTCAACGGAAGTCTGACCAGTTAAGTGGTATCGCTAGCCCTCTTACAGCCAGTTTCTTTTCTAAACTGCAATGTTATTTTATATTGTTTTGATCTCACTATTTTGTGTCCAGGGTTACTGTGTCAATGACGAAGCAGCGGTGGCGGCAGTGAGCGTCTTGTTCAGACACCTCTAGACGTCATCACAATCCTCCATAGGCCGTTACACGGCTGCATGTGTTGGAGCAGAGAGCCTTCACCAGGGTTATGTACCTAGTCGGTACTTCTTTTGGTGAGACACTGCCAAAATACCTCATGCTTGTCAGCGGAATGAGGTCATCAGGTCAAGAAATATGGCAAGTGTCAGCTAATGGCTTGCAAGGATGCCTATGTCGTCGGACCTGTCACAGTGAGAATGCGGTCGACGCACTTTGAACCGGCTTTTTCAGAAACCTGGCTGGTTTTCCCGAGCTCCATTTTGGTGTCAGATAATTATAGACCACAGGATGTTGGACATTAGTGAAACTAATTCCCCTATGGTTGTCACAAGACTTCTTCCCGTTCTGATAAACTGGAATGATGAGTGAAGTATATCAGTCCGATTCCATTACACCACCTGGTAAATGAATCACAATAATTAGGAATTCCCAGCCTCCATCCTTGAAAACTTCAGGTGGTAAACTGTCGGGTCCTGCTACTTCACATCGTTTTCTATTTGATACAGCATTCGCAACTTCAAGGAGAGTTGAAAGACTAACGTTGGGCGTCTGAAGCTTTTCTGTAGACCAGTTGAACTGTACTCTAAAATGTTCCACCCAACGTTTTTGTTGCTTCTCCCAGGAAGTTGTCAGTATCCCAACAACTGTGCTTAGACAACCTTTGATTCATAGCCAGTAAAACCTTCTGACATGATTCTGTTTGGCGTGCGTAAAAAACACTAAACGTTGGAAATAGATAGAACATAGTGTAACCTATTATCATCGGAGGATCGATGAGATATTTGCACCCCTTCTGGAACACGTATTTGGCAGTTATCACGTGTTTTCGTGAAAGTATACGTACATAAAAATTGTAGGACCGTTGCAGGCACAGACTGATGACAAGATTACCAGGGATGCTACTAAACAATAAGCTAGTTAGGTAGTCGTTAAAGCAAAACGAGAAGCTAGTCACTGTATTATTGTCTGGATTAAAGACAGCAACTGACCCTAGGAGAATGTCAGCAAACCTCAGGAGCTTTTTATAAATTAATGGGTATCCTTGTCTGGATTAAAGACAACAACTGACCCTAGGAGAATGTCAGCAAACCTCAGGAGCTTCTTATAAATTAATGGGTATCCTTGAACCAATTACTGCAGGCATCCGGCACAATGATGAGTGGAGACAACTGAAATGTAAACTGACAATGAGACTACGCTTTGACCCCTAGCAGTTGCCAGAGAAGGTGCAAGAGGTGAACAAAGCATTGGTGATAGGTAGCAGAAGACCGTTATAAAAACATTTTAGCTGAGTAGTACCGGTCAGTGATTCACTACCAAGTGATAAGATCAGCGCGATGAGCATACCACTTCATTTAACACTACCGAAGATATTTAAGTACGATGGTAGAGGATAAATGATCAAGCTAACTGAAGCGGTCAGTAGAACATGGAAATCTTCACATGATAACTATAGGTGATGATGATCGGAAAAGAAACGACAAATGAACAAACACCGCCTGTCTAGCGAACCGTGGGGCATGGTGGAGTGTGTTATTATTGGGGCCGACTTTTTGTCCCCACTTCCATTGAGAAGGCAGCATCAACATGGCACTTCTGGTTATCCAAGGGAAACACATTGCTGTCGCACCCCATCCAGCTAGCGGCTGTAAGAATTCGCCTTCAAACTACCATCATAGTGTAGTAATTTACACCGCAATAGTAACTTTTTTTTCGTCCAACCACTATCCAACAGACCCTTTGTGTATTGTAGGACTTCGACGGAACAAGTATTCCACCAACATAGCTCGTTTGGTTATTGTGATATGCAAGCCCGACCACCACGTCAAGGTAGCAGCTATTGGTTGGGCTGAACTGTATTGGGAGGTGGAGACTACCTGGGTGGGTACCTCAAAGACGATAGAAATCGGTGGTAAAAAACTTGGTGAAATGGCTCAAAATCAGTGACCGTGCTGCAGAAATATTGACTCTTTGACGTCTTCTAAAGCTTGAATATTTTCAATAAACTTTATCTTCAAATTGTTTCTCCTTCCATTTATTTTTTCTACTTTAAAACCACTCTTTTTCTACCCACTTCTTTGCATGTTACTGCTCAGTGTGGCAACTTGCTCCTATACATTTGTGTGCGTGGTTCTTTCTGTTTTGTTTTTGTCTGTGTGTCTGTCTATTTGCTTTATCAGCATTCACTTCAATTGGTGCAAACTGATAAGTACACAGGTGTCTTTCTCGGATTCACTTTGTAAATTAGTGTTAAACCACCATTATTGTAATCATTTTTCTTCCATATTATTTCTTTATACATTAAACTTTATTTTCATTTCTACTGTGATAGATCCAAAGTGAAATCGATAAAGTGGAAGCAAGTCTACGTGAAGCAACCCAGGATGTCGAGAAGGCAAGAGATAATCGTCGGAAAATTGTCGAACTTAAGCGCCAGGTAGGTCAATCTTCATCTATCTCTTCTTTCCATTTATAAATTTGAATTTCTCATCGTTTTTGTAATTTACAAACTTGTATGTTTAATCTGTGTTCAGCGTAAACTTGTCACTAACCAATTTTATATGGTGTTATATGAAGGAAATTATTGGCTACCTTGTGGATATAATGGAAATCATAAATTATTCTGTTTGTTTTACCTAATTGTATTTTTGTTTTGAGTCGTTAGTGAAGGGTCTTATAATTTTCTTCATAAGCAATGCCTATGAAAAATAACGTGGTACACCCAGATGATGATTGTTAAAGTCAACGAAACAACCTTCGGTTAGTTGTTATATCAGAACTTCTCAAAGGTAGTATTACAATCTACCGCGGTGTTTTACTCTTATATCTACGTGCACTGATTCCAACAGACAAAGTCAAAGCAGCTATAGAACGTGTCAGTGTACTACGTCTTGAAGAAGAAATTTACAGAATAGTCAAAAAGTTTCGCAACATCAGAAATTATATTGAAGATCTTAAGTGTAAGCTGATACAAACAGTTAGTGAAAAAAAAAAAAATTATGAGCTTCTGATGAACAATTTCAATAAAACAAGATCAGCCGCATTCAAGAAATCCAAAATACTCAGATTCAGAAGAAGTTCAACAAACTTATAGAAGAAAAGCATGCAGTCAACAGTAATGAAATTAACAATAGCATATCACCAATGATCGATAAGTCAAAGTGGGTTGTCAATCTCTCAAGTAAAGTCCTAAGCCCAACAGATGTGAAAGTGCTAGAGAAAGGTCTTAATTTCAATGTAAGAGGTTAATGAGTTGAAACCAGAAGATATCATTCCCGAAATATAAATAGCGTTAAGTTCAATAGATAAGACAATTGCAGATGAGGTAAGAGCACATTGTGTACTCTAACACTGAAACGACAGAAGAAAATGAAATCTAACTTACTCAAGTCAAAGAGGGAAGCTCTCAGAAACCTTCAAAAATGTATTGTTGTCGCTTTTTACAGCTGTTTTCTTCGTGATTGTGTATAACGATGCACTTTTTGCTTTGTTAACATGTCACCTTGTTCATAAAGTTCAACTTATTCTTTTTCCTCTGATCTTTGAGCAACTGTTGCTTCATTATTTTAAAAGAATAATAATTCACTAAATCATTCATAATATATTTTTATATTCTTTATTATTATTATTATTATTAATTAGATTGTTGAGTTAGAGACAGTTCGACCCTCAGATATGATTATAGCACAAAATACTAGCAGTTGTGCTCCTATTGACACTTCCACATATCCAAACAGGACCCAAACTAAACTTGATAAACGACCACGTACTCTGTATATCACTGGTATTGAACCGGATGATGTTGACAACTTTCAAAATGCCCTCTCAGTAAGTTTCGTATTTTTATTGAAATTACTTTATGACATGTTTAGTAATAATTCTCAACTGTTAGTAAATATTTACTTACTTTCCAGACGTAAAAAAGTACGTTTAGAATCTGAAGCTTCTGGTCCTAATTCATTTTGTTACTTTTCTGTATGGTTGTTCATTATTATGAAATGAACTCAACTGAAATAATAGACAGGTTTTCTTTGGATAATAAGTTGATTTAATTATAAGTACTTTCAGCTTTATGAATGGTAAGAGGTCGCTAACGTATAGTTGTTATTTAGAGGTAGTATTTATCACGGATTAACATCAGTTGGAGAACCGTTGAAAACCTGGGAGTACTGAACATCTGTTTTGTGCTAGTATAGAAATCCTCAAGCAGTACACACCTACGAACCCGGCTAGAGATCGAATTTCAGGTATCACGGTGAACGCGTTGATCATTCAACTATTGGATCAGTTTACAGTGGTTCACGTCTAGATGTTTCAATTCAATAATCTTGCAAAATTAGCATTAAAGCACACTTTTTTTTGTCGTAGAATTTCGTGTAGTTTTTGAGTTAATACAGATGAATTATTTATTAGAAAACAGTGAAGTGCAATTATTCCACTACTCCAATCAGCTGTAGAGGTGAAGTAAACGTTGTTTTTTCTCAGTGTGTTAAATCCTCCATTGAATCTATCCTCTGTGTATTTTGATTTGTGATGAATTTTATCTCTTCTTACCAAATCGTTTCAGTGAAAGTGATTGAATTTGACTTTGCCTTTTTGTTTAAATAAAATCGTGTAACTGGAGATGTCACTTAGAATAAATGATTCATGTATAGTTGATATGGGCCTGAAACAACATCTTATACGTTTGTGAAGTAAACATACAAGTAGGAATTGTTTGAAACCACTTTTGGTTAAAAAAATATAATTTGAAGTCTACGTTAAGGAATGAAATCAGTACTTAGTTGGTTTCTGAAAGCATTTGTACAAGGCTTTATCAAAAGTATCGTTAACTTATATGATTGATATTTTTCAGAGTTGTTTATAGATGAAATATGACATGTTCTATGTCATCATTAATCCCTCGTTAATTCGGGAAGCACTTACCTACCAAACAGCTAAACAACAATTGCCTTCGCTTCCACAATTACAATGAATTTTGAAGTGATGACCAGGGGTAGGATATAATTCTATATTAGATCTGTGTATTTGGTGTATTTAGTTGATGACGTTTCGAGCATAAATTTATTGCTCACATAATCATACCAATCATATTGGTGTTCGCTATGTGTATATCAAGCAAATGAATCTGATATAGAATTCTATTTTTAGTATATTGGTCATAAATTTTTTTACGTTCATTTGACCGATTCGGATAACTTATTTGCTTCGTTTATGTTTCCCCCCTTGTGATAATGCCCAAAAAATGATGTCTTAGTTCTACTCAAATCCACTGATTTTTTTTTAACATAACTGATGACATCGATTGCTGAGGTTTTTTGGATTTTTCAAATACTTGAAAATGATACCGGTTTTAAAGCGCTAAGTGTTCGACGTAAACTATCTTCAACATATTCGAATAGTAATAAAGTTACTTTAGGTCATGAATTTAAAATATGTATTCAAACCTACTAGTACCTTTAGTGACAAGCATTTTCATGTAAAAATGAAGCTGATTTTTTTTAAAAAAAAAATTTCGTTTATTTCTTTCAGCTGAATTATCTACATACCCAAAGTTGTACAAAACAAACTGACCCTGAAACGAATCAGTTAGTGCTGGAAGTTACATTTTGCACTCGTGACTTTGCAGAAGCAGCTATTCGCCAGTTTACCCAGTTTCATGGACGTGATTTACATATGTGTTTTACATATCCAGCATTATCTGAGCCGAAATTCGGAAATTTCACTGATGAAGATGTAAAAAATGTAAGTTTTCCTCTTCTTTTTTTATTTAGCAAAAAGTAATAAGATATTAAACACTGATGCTTCTTTCAGTTGTATAAGCAAAGTTTCAGTTTGGCGTCAATATCAATGCAGCTTGTAGTACATCATTCATATTTAATACATATTGATTATAAAAGATGTAACCTAGATATTGGTCAGCTTGGTTGCCCGTGGGTTTAGTGATTTCCCCCGAAAGAAAAGATTTCGTTTGTAAAATATCAGGTCTGGGATTCGATCCATCTTGAACGACTGAATAGATGAGATACGATGGGGAAAAAAATGCACTTATCAGTTTTCAATAAAGGAGCAGTGCAAATTTACGACTCATCGATATTATTCAAACGGCTGTTTCAAAAAACAATGCTATTTTTATCGTAGATTCCAGTGTGTCAAATTGCACTATACTTTGATAAAATGATTTCCATCTAAATATCCTGTTCTACGTTATTACATTCCTGCGTTAACCCAGTCGCCGCCAATTCGCTATGACTTTCTCTATTTGTAAATTAACTTGAGGAAGTAATTCACCTTATTCAGTATTATCTCAACCCTAACCGTGATTACTCTCGAATACAGCCGTGTCCGGTCTTGTATACCTAATTCGCGTACACAGTGAGTTACACAATTCAGTCCTCCCTACGGTTTACAACAGAATACAAAGTCTTGTGCTTATTATCCGTAGATTTCAGGCGATCTCATTATATGACTGAATTGCTCTACCACAACGGACCGTAATTTATAAGACTGAAACAGCTGATTTCAAGCATAAAATATGCAATAATGCATAACTGTGGATTATTCTCAACATCCAGTTATTACCAAAAGCTTCTAATCTGAACATAAATGATAATGTCATTGTAATTATATTCGCATAGTTCCTTAGTTAGTATGTGTTGTTCTATAGTATTTTTACCTCGTAGGATTGTTTTGATTATCACATATTGTCTAGGTTTCGTCTACACAAATTGAAACTTCAGATCAGCTGTAAACTATCACTTCCTCAGAATCATTGGACTATTCTACTCATTCCAGTCCTACTTCTACCACAGTTATAAATACTTTGTCTTCATAACAGGTGATGGTGTGTCAACAAAAGAATTATTAATCCTTTCTGCGATATTTTATCAAACTAGTGTTTTTTCTTTTGTGAACAATATTTTTTATTGAAAGCTCTTATCCTATTTAAAATAGTTCTTCATTGTATGGTTATGTACACACTGATTGTTATTTAAATGATGTCATTCGACTTACACTTATTTATGAGTAAAGTCAGTATTGTGCATCATTCCATGTCACTTTGATGTTTGATGGTTTACTTTTCTCTATTCATAGTTATTATTCTAAAGCACTAAGTATGATAGCTTGCCGATAGTTTGTATGTCTATCTTTTTTTGTAAAAGATATTTTGGACATATGGTTCACAGACTTGGGAACTAGACTTTCAAACAATGGTTCCCGGGTCATAATACCTCTCCACCTATTTCAGTTTAGGCCAACGAGCATTATAAGACTTCACACACAATATGTGACAACTTAATATATAAATATATACTGGGTTGATTGACATTATTTCTCATAGAACCCAATGGTTGTTATTCATTTGACTACATCTAGCCAATATGGTGAAGCTCACAAGTATCCGAAAATTCAGTGGCCAGCTATCGTTGACTGGATAGTATAGGCAAAGAATTAGACTCATTCCTGAACTGGATGCCAGTAAACAGGCGTATGTCCTACTGCATAACTGAATGGATGTGTTAGAACTGGGAAGGGTTGTGAAACTCACCGATGCCTATTCATAATTTCAGTCTGTGCGCTCATTGACTGCAGTTTGCATAATGCAATAGATGAATTCTGTCCGAAGCTTTCAGTTTCACAACATACAGTAGAACATTTGGAAAAAAAAATCATAAAGGTAAGTGATATCAACGCTCAAGCAATAAACACCGAAAGGATGCGTCAGGCTAATAACTCGTAGAGAAAACTAAAATGATGGGTGAGACTTTTCAAGGAATAGTTCAGCTGACCTCCACCTACCATTGTGTTGTTCACTATGCAGTCGGATCTTGAACTCAGAGAACTTGAAGAGTCCTGGAGCGTCTTCGAAGAAAGAAGGTCAACAGATCTGGATGAGCTAATAGCAGATGTATTTAAGGACAGCGTTCGAGGATAATTTGTGAGATAAGCTGAAATGTTACTTTGATTGTTTGGGATGCGTACCCCAACTCTCAAATACAGACTGTTGCTCTGGGACTAGACTGTATCAGCACAACGTCTATCAATGGGAAGGAAAGTGGTTGAGCACTGTGATGATTTGCGAAGACGTGCTCACTTTTTAATCTGATTGCTCGCTCCACATTGTGGTCACAGCCAGTTGGAATCAGTTTTCTCCTACCAATCAGTTTAGATGAGGTTGTGGGAACCCACTAGTTTTTACTAACCTTTGCTCTTTCTACACCACAGAATGTCGCTAGGAATAGAATTGCTGCAATGTTTAGATACATGCTCAGCTTTCCCATCCGAGCACACACAGAGTCCGAAAACGTACTCCAGAAAGAACATCGATCCTGTCGGATAATAACTTGTGGCAATACTTGTGTACACCATTGTTTTGATGTCTAGAGACGACACGTGAGACACTCTTCTAGCTAAGGGAAACGGTTTTTTCGAAACGAAACTGTAACAGGCGATCACCGTTGTGGGTTTATTAGCATAGGATACCGTAGATAGTTCCAAGACGCCTTTTGATTGCCGCAGTTTTAAAATGGCCTGCTACTATGACTATATCTAAACAATTTGCTGCATGTTGCGAAATTGACAGCTTTTGATTGTTTCCACCCTTTGCATCATTCGAAATACAGTCGGTGGGTGCGTGAGCTGAGATTATGAACAGGCATCGGTGAGTTTCACAACCCTTCCTGGTTCGAATACATTCAGTCAGACAGTACACAAACACCTTTTGATCTGTGTCTTGATCAGGAGTAAGCTTTTTTGCTCTACAACTTAAGGCTATAACTAGACCGTGTTCATGAGTCGTAGTTACTGAATCTCTGGATACTCAAAGTTTGAAGATTCATCGCACTAGTCAGGTGAGGTCAATTTAAAAACTACACTCAGGTCTTCCATACTTGGCTCAGAAACAGCTTGCATCCATGACTAGAGATTCCAGAATTCTGACGAGAGATGCTTGCTGTTCAATTTGGCAGAAAGTTCACACGTTGAAATTTCAAATGTGGAACTGACTGGGAGTCTTCTCGGGACTCCCGAACAATTTTCGGGAGGCATAATATTAGTATCATGAACTGAAGGTGAAGAGGGCACACATTTAAGACAGGTAGGTTATGTTTACTAATAGGAGTATGGAGATAGTACTTAGTGGTTGTTTGCATCGTGGGGATTGCTTCTGCAGGTTGTCTTGAGGAAGCATACAAGTAATTTTATATGGTTGCAGAGCCATCTGCTTAGGGCCTGTGACAATGTTTAGGGAATTGTCGGGTTGGAACTCACTTCTGTCGGCGGATAAGAAAAGCTAGTGACATGGGTCCTGGAAAGGAAGCATTACATCGGTGGCATGATTGGTCATCGGGGGAAAGGATCTTACAGGTATCACACTCCATCTAATCAGCAGTACGGCTTCACCCTCAGATACTCATCGTGGCGTGGGGATTTACACTGAGGATAACTACTTTCTATCCTACCTCAATCCAACAGACCTCGGTATGATAGATCTTTAGGGAACAAGCGTTCTAACTAATATAGCTCGTTGGGTTATTCTGATAAGCAAGCTCGATCTGTGTCACGGTAGCAGCTGTAATTCGTGATGGAGGTTAGTGTCCATTTTCCTGAACAAGGTAGAGGGTGATGATTTAACCAATCCACTTTCATCCAGATCTGAAACCTAATTGGTTTACTATATTTTGACGTTCTCATTCTTCTATCTGGTGTTTGAGAATTATGAAACGCAGGATGTCGTCGGTCTTAATCACCTATAGTTGTCATGTGAAGATTTCCATGTTCTACTGACCGCTTCAGTTAGCTTGATCATTTATCCTCTACCATCGTACGTAAATATCTTCGGTAGTGTTAAATGAAGTGGTATGCTCATCGCGCTGATCTTATCACTTGGTAGTGAATCACTGACCGGTACTACTCAGCTAAAATGTTTTTATAACGGTCTTCTGCTACCTATCACCAATGCTTTGTTCACCTCTTGCACCTTCTCTGGCAACTGCTAGGGGTCAAAGCGTAGTCTCATTGTCAGTTTACATTTCAGTTGTCTCCACTCATCATTGTGCCGGATGCCTGCAGTAATTGGTTCAAGGATACCCATTAATTTATAAGAAGCTCCTGAGGTTTGCTGACATTCTCCTAGGGTCAGTTGTTGTCTTTAATCCAGACAAGGATACCCATTAATTTATAAAAAGCTCCTGAGGTTTGCTGACATTCTCCTAGGGTCAGTTGCTGTCTTTAATCCAGACAATAATACAGTGACTAGCTTATTGTTTAGTAGCATCCCTGGTAATCTTGTCATCAGTCTGTGCCTGCAACGGTCCTACAATTTTTATGTACGTATACTTTCACGAAAACACGTGATAACTGCCAAATACGTGTTCCAGAAGGGGTGCAAATATCTCATCGATCCTCTCCGATGATAATAGGTTACACTATGTTCCATCTATTTCCACCGTTTAGTGTTTTTTACGCACGCCAAACAGAATCATGTCAGAAGGTTTTACTGGCTATGAATCAAAGGTTGTCTGAGCACAGTTGTTGGGATACTGACAACTTCCTGGGAGAAGCAACAAAAACGTTGGGTGGAACATTTTAGAGTACAGTTCAACTGGTCTACAGAAAAGCTTCAGACGCCCAACGTTAGTCTTTCAACTCTCCTTGAAGTTGCGAATGCTGTATCAAATAGAAAACGATGTTAAAGTAGCAGGACCCGACAGTTTGCCACCTGAAGTTTTCAAGGATGGAGGCTGGGAATCCCTAATTATTGTGATTCATTTACCAGGTGGTGTAATGGAATCGGACTGATATACTTCACTCATCATTCCAGTTTATCAGAACGGGAAGAAGTCTTGTGACAACCATAGGGGAATTAGTTTCACTAATGTCCAACATCCTGTGGTCTATAATTATCTGACACCAAAATGGAGCTCGGGAAAACCAGCCAGGTTTCTGAAAAAGCCGGTTCAAAGTGCGTCGACCGCATTCTCACTGTGACAGGTCCGACGACATAGGCATCCTTGCAAGCCATTAGCTGACACTTGCCATATTTCTTGACCTGATGACCTCATTCCGCTGACAAGCATGAGGTATTTTGGCAGTGTCTCACCAAAAGAAGTACCGACTAGGTACATAACCCTGGTGAAGGCTCTCTGCTCCAACACATGCAGCCGTGTAACGGCTTATAGAGGATTGTGATGACGTCTAGAGGTGTTTGCACAACACGCTCACTGCCGCCACCGCTGCTTCGTCATTGACACAGTAACCCTGGACACAAAATAGTGAGATCAAAACAATATAAAATAACATTGCAGTTTAGAAAAGAAACTGGCTGTAAGAGGGCTAGCGATACCACTTAACTGGTCAGACTTCCGTTGACGCAGGGTGCCTCGAAAGTACGAAAAGGTCGGACCCAAGAATAACCCACTCCACAGTGCCTCGTGGTCAGCCAGACTGGCGGTGTTGGCTCATTTATCGTTTATTTTCGATCATCCGCCCCCAAAACAACCATAAACAAAGGGCTGTATGTGAAAAGCCTCAACCACATGTCGGGTAGGCTCTGTGGTCACACAACTCCCTTCCAGGTACCTTAAGAAGAAATGGCCTTCCACGGTGTGGGCAGCCGGGAAGTGTCAACCAACCTCACAACTCGATCAGCACTGAAGGGGCCTAATATACTGAGTGTTATGGGACATAGTTGTGGTCCGCTCCATACGTTGGGGAGTTTGCAGGAGGATAATAATCCTTCTAACATACGACTAAATTGGGTAGTTCAGCTGGAAGCTCTGATATCAACAGGAAGATGACTCCATAGTTTCGAGTACTTAATAGTGAAGAAGTTAGCTCGGAAGGGGTGTTCTAAAGGCTTTCATTTTAACACTGTAGGCTTGATTGGGGAGACTTTAGCAACTTTTGGTGTGAAACGGACTTTCTCACTAGCTGTAAAGGATATTTCACGTAAAGTCTTGAGTTAAAAATAAGTTTAGTCTTAAGACATCTCATCCATAGTGGTTGCAGATTATGGGACGAACACCGAGAGGCATAATCCTGACCACACTCGTAACCAAGTAGCCAGCATGTAAAGTACCTCTGCACACTCAATCTTAAGTTTATCGTCTACATCGGTGTTCCCTAAAACAAACGAACAGTATTCTAACGGGGGTCGGAGGCAAGCTTTGTATAGCAATAATTTAGCTTCGTGATTATGAAAGTTAGGAACTATACAGCCTAGTAGTATTCTGGACTTACGATCGATAGCTGCTACTTGACGCGGTGGTCGGACTTGTATATCACAATGACGCGACGAGCTGTGGTAGTGCAACACAATCCCTAGAAGTCGCACCATATCACAAAGTTCTGTTGGATAGTGGTTAGACGAAAAGCAGTTACCAGTGTAGTGTAAACGACTACACTATGATGGAGGTCTGAGGGCAAAGTCTAACTGCTGCTAGCTGGATGGGGTGTGACAGAAGTAGGCTATTTCCCCTGGGTGACCAGCAGTGCCATGCTGATACTGCCTTCTCAGTGGAATAGGAGGCAGCGAGACTAAAGGGGGAAAGGACGGGTCTGCGATTCAACCGCAGTGGAGACCACTGGAACGATAGGCAGAAGACTTCGAGGAACAGTTTAACTGACCTCCAACCACCATTGCGTTGCCCACCATCCAGTCGAATCGTGAATGGAACATTAAGATAGGCCCCCCTAACACTTGCAGAAGTCAAGAAAGCTGTAGGTAACATGAAAGGAGGAAGGGTGGCAGGACTAGATGGACTAACTCCACAGGTATACAAGGATGATGGTAGAATGCTCTTAGTCAGGTTAACAGAAGTGTTAACCAGTATATGGAGGTCAAATACGACCCCTCTCTGACTGGTCTCCACCACTGGTCATTCCAGTCTTCAAGAAAGGCGAGAAGTCCTCTTGTCATAACCACACAGGAATCAGTCTGGCGAATATACTGTCTAAAATTATAGGCTCCATAATTCTTCGACGCCTCAGTGGAGCTCGGGAACAGCAAGCCCGACAAAAGCAGACAGGTTTTAGACCACCTGACCGTTGGTGTATCGACCAAATATTCACACTGCGCCTGGTTCTGGAACATAGACCTGCTTATCGACGCTCGACACTGGCTGTATTTCTCGACCTGAAGGCGGCATTTGACTCCCTTGATCGAGAAGTCTTATGGCAACGCCTCACACTGAAAGGCCTGCCGAGTAAGTACATCACCTTATTGAAGGCTCTCTACTCGAACACTTGTGGACGTGTCACAACCTATGGTGAGATGTCGGGGAGCTGTACTCATCGAGTGGTGTCTGTCAAGTGTGCCCACTATCGCCATTCTCATTCAATCTTACCATACATATTCTCATGGAGGTCTCCCTCTCGTCACCTGTCGTCTACACAGGGTTTGACGTAGTCACGGGACAATTTTCGTTAGACCTAGAATATTCAGATGACACAGCCCTGTTAGGTGAAGACACTGGCAAGGTACAAAGTCTTCTGAACAATTTGAATGGGAACTTGAGAATGTTTGGGATGCGTTGATCACCACCCGAATGCAAATTATTGCTCCACGATTGGTCTTCAACGATGCCCCACAGCGGCTAACAATAGAGAGTGAAGTGGTTGAGTGTGTCGACCATTTCACTTCACTTCACTTACCTGGGAAGTAGGATCAGCCCTACCCTGGTGGCTCAGTATCCAGTGAAATTTCTCCACGAATACAAAAGGCTTGGCTGGCTTTTACCAACTTACGCCACCTGTTGTCTATTAAGGGTCACGTGTACTGCACAGTAGTCCACTCTGTTCTACTGTGTAGCTGTGACACATGGTCAATGAAGGTGGAAGACATGAGAAGGCTTCATGTGTTTGACCACTGTTGGCCTTCGTAGTATAGGCTGCCGAATTCCGTGGTGTCACCACGTGAGTAACGCAGAAATCAGGAGTAGAGTTTTAGGGGGAAGAGCTTAATCAGTTGATGAGGTTATGAACCTTCATCGACTGAGATGGTTGGGATACGTGTTACGTATGACTAGTCACCGTCTACCTCGTCACACAATATTGGCCGAAGTAGGTCCAGGCAGGGAAAAGGCCCGAGATGGCCAGACTAAAATATGATACCAATGTATGAAGTCTCTGACTGTTGGTTTGAGCCATATGGGGGTGATGCAGACTAGGTGGTTGGGGTCGGCGGGACAAGAGGAACCAGTGGTAGGAGACTGATTCTAGGTGATATGACTCAGAACTGATGTCAGTGGCGCAGATGTATGCACACATTATCCTCATCTTAACGACGCTATACCGAACATCACCATCTTCTCATTCTTTCTTTCTTTTCGTACTTCTTTTTGACTGAATTTTTTTATCTTAATGTTGCACCTCGCTGCCTTTTTACTTGATATACTTATGTGAGGTGTGGCAACTCGAGGTGTTACTCGGCAATGCCTGGTGCTGTTTTTATGGATGATGATGAACTGTTCCCGAGGTTGCTGTAGCTGTATACTTTTGGTAGCGTTCCTCATGACGTCTGGCGTACATTTCTAGCAGGAGTCTTTGTGCTCTTTTGTGGTTTGCCCAATCCAATATCTGCATTCCTCGTATCACAGAAGTGAGCATTAGCATTTCCGTAGTGTTTGTAGTCCTTCGGTCACTTTCTATAGGTGTGGTTGTAGTCTCGTAACCGTCTTGTAGTGTTGAAAGAAAATCTACAAAGAAGTGAAATATTGACTTGCAGAAATCACAAGACAGAATTCTACGTTCATGGATAAAATGACGACAGGGCATTAGCATTACTGTGTTGGTGTAGCATGAGCATTTGCAGTCATAATTGTCGATCGCTTGTTGGTTGTATCCTTCTTGAAACACTACATAAACCTCTGTAGATTCAACTACCCGTGTATCGCCCGGCGTCAGCATAGTTTTGTTCACATAACGTGCTCCGTGATTCGTTAGAGAACATAGCACACCAGAAGTGATGTCTTCCGTCTGTAATAACAGAGATCAGAATGGTTAACTTACATCAAACTGTATGTAGTAGTGCGAACTGTGGTTTCCTTTATTGGTCTTCCGGCTATGTAGTTCTACGAAGCGTTAACAAATTTCTTGAATGCTGAATCCCAGAGGAAAACATTTGCGTAAACGTTTCTTCGGATGCATATGGCGGCAGCTGACCCAAGATAACAATATCTTTCATGAGGCATGTAGCCCACATATGTTGATGGGCATAAAGATTAGCATCGGTGTAGGCCAGTGCTGTTGGATATTCTATTCTCATGGAAAGCCCCAATTCATGAAATCCAGGGAATTAATATATAAGGGTGGTGACATCTGTCACGATCACGGGTGTTTACCATTTCCCGAAAAATAAGTTTACATTTTTGATTACGGAACTGAGAGGCTCTCACTTTCGGCATACGAGTTACCTTATCATTAGATAAGAGAATAAAGTGGGAGAGATACAAGACCATGGAATAGGGCCGGTATCGGCTGCGAGTAGCTCCTTGCTCTGCAGCACTATTGTCGACGACGAACGTCACATTTCATGGTGTCACCTATAATGATCTTGAAAGAATGCGAGATATACTCCGCATTCACTAGGCGTTCTTGGTGAGTTATGCTTTACATCATAGGAAAGCTGCGCTAGAGGCTATCCGTGATAACTAGTTGATAAAGCGAGTGGTTTAAAAACAACTGATAACTTTGGTTGCATACTCTTCCTTGGAGGTGTTGTATGTAGAATCAGTACTGATAACTGGAAACGCTTTATATTGCTTTATTATTTCCCGAGTTGTAAAATTAAACTTCTGTACTCGTCCGTCGTTGTCTACTATGTACCACACTAACCCCGTTTCTCAAATTTCTGCAGTCAGTACATCTATCATAAATTCCTAGACACCCTATGAAAGAAACATGTCACATTATTAGAGTACATCATTCCCCAGAAGTTTCAACAGTCATCGTATGTCATTAGCTCCCCAAACTCTACGTCAGCCACAATAATTTTTTCACCTAGTAGTGCAGTCCGTTCGGTTAACTGTAGGATCTTTCCTGCCTGCTCACTTCTGAGTCTTCCAACCCTTGGTCTCACGTACATCTGCAGCTCGTGGTGGTGTATGGAGTTAATAGGCTTGTACTTGCTGAGTCGTCGGCTCACCTTTTTCTCTTCCTCTTTTCTACTCCAGATTCTCGTGGTCATCACCAAATACACTGCTCTACGTGCCCCCTGCAACAGCGTACTTACCTGCAGATTAGACGAAAACGTATCGACAGCCTGCCGTTACAGGTTCTACAACTTCATAATGCCCTGATTCAGTTTAATCCAGGTGAATGAGACCGAAGAACTTAGGTCTGTTATGTTTGTGTAATGGTCTTTATTACAGTGTTTCCTGGGATTTTCGCTGTTTGCTGCTTTCTCCACCGGCCAATATAGCAACGAAAAACAGCATACTGGTACGTGTATGCTGGATCTACGTTATTGTTACCGTCCCTATTCATGCCAGAACCACGAATCTTGTATAAACTGATAGTTTTCTTCAGAATTTAATAATGACTCCACTGATTATACAGTTCACCCCTTGGAATTGTTTGATGGATGCTTCACACTTGTCATGTTGAACAGATAGGTAA